TCTGACGAGAACTATTGTGGAAACAAGTCACAGAGAACTACAATCTCATTCTATTGAATACAAATCTCCACTCATTTTCCAGCTTTACCTCTGGGATTCTTCTCGTGTATAGATTGTCATCTGTGGCCAATCACCCGACTGAACCCAGGATTGGACTGTCCTCGATGAATTATATCGGGAGTGATCATTAGCATGCCCTGCTGCATATCAATATTCTCGTTCCATTTCCCGCATTAAATATTGCAGCGCGTGGACAGGCCGGAGTTTGAGCGATCCCTCAGCCTATCTGATTCAGATTCGTCTAGATTCAGCTATATCTACTGGCGAACGTTACCTAGTAGCATGGCGGGACTGAGATCGTGTGAATGTGATCAAGGCCTTAAGAAGACACTAGTAGGACTGCACAATTATCCAACCGTTAAAACATCGTCACGACCCCGAATGTGAAGAATCTTGCATGAAAGCAATCCCGCCTTCTGTAAAGTCTACATATTTTTGTTTTCATGTCGTATCCCTCTGAATACCGTCTGGATGGAAGAACTGAAAATTGAAGGTAGTGAGTAGAGTAGAAATACCCCTCTGGAATAATGAGAACAATGTGAATCAAATGTTGTCTGACACACTATGGGTTCTTCTGCTCTCATTCTGTCGGAATGCTGATCTTAAGGAATGTCGCTGTGATTTGTGACACTGAATAACTTTTTACTAAAATTATATCCAAGAGAGCCTATCGCATAAAGTAATTTGTTTCGCCTCGGTGAGGTCTACAAAGTATTTCTTTCTTTGAGGTTTACTCACATCAGGTATCCTATGTACCCAAAATAAATGTACTATTCGAATGGGATAGCAATTACGATTCTTTCAGAGACAAGTAGAAGGCTGTGAAATTTAATTTTTTTGATAGAAAAAAGCTCGAAGGGGAGAGAAAACACGAAGGATAATCTGAAGAAGGCTTATTATAATTAGTATAAAGTATTTCCTCGTTTCGATCAATACTTGTAAATTAAACACAAAACTGCAATATGAAAATAAATCACTAACACGAACGGTGGACGGTGAGCATGGCGCTCTCATTTACGCTGCCAGTGGCGGATGGGGCCCGCACAAACTGAAGGATGCAGCTCCATCAAATGACGGAAATGTAATTTTCAAAATTCAGAACACTAATATATAAAATGCAAGCACTTGATGGAAATTAATTAAAACTAAGCATCTGTATTGAAATATTACTTACATATTTTTATGCGCAGTATCTCTGTAAGGAATTTTACCTCCCGCGTACGTAGTTCCGGCTTTGATTTCCACTGAACACTCAAGTATTTGTAGTAGTTCTGTATTGAGACTATTTACCGTAATGGATTTCATACGAAACAAAAAAGAGCTTTGTTTCAAAAATATTGTGACCGCACTCCAGCACTTTGCAAACAAGCACTATTGTGTGGACACGTTTTACACAAAAATATGTATTTCAAAAATTTCACTGCCCTGGTATATATTGTAATAATGAAAGATCCTCACACATTGTCACATACTCCTGTTCACACCAGCGCCCTGTAACACAGCAACTCGCTCAGCTGATTGGGTCTGGTTGACGCCATGTAACGGGACGGACGCATCTGGTTGTGCTCTTGAGTTTTTGACTTAATCTTCTATTTTTAGACTATATTTGCCTGTGTTTTAAGCGCTTCTCAGTCTACGACGCGGCGTCTCCCAAGAATTTAGCCAAGAATTTATATCTACAGCACTACCGCTGTGGGGTGTTTGACCATCCACCTTGTAGTACACACATCGCCCTCCCCCTTCAGCGAATTTCAACTTATCTTACACCTCAATATATTTTCCTCCGGTCGGAATTACACGTACCACATGTCGCGGAGTTGTAGATGGTTGTCAAATATTGTAATCTATCCCAGGCGGCAGACTTTTACGTCACCGTGATATAAATGTTGTTCCGATGGTACGACAAATGTATTATGGGGGTAAAATGGTGCAATATGTACTGTGATTGTTACAATCGATTTTTATGAAACTGTTTTCTTTTGGTTTACGACCTTACTTTCTAAATTCACCTTATATAACCGAGGTCGGCAATTTTTCTTACGATTAAACAAAGATTGCAAATGTATGTTCTCTACTTCGTTTGTCCTCAACAGCAGAAATACCCAGATTTTTCGAAATACTTCTTTATATTTAATAATTGAGGCGAAGTGGCTAAAATCGCCTATATTTTGTTTTTCCGTGAACTAGCACTATTTTTTAGATTTAACTAGTCAAAAAAAGTAAAAACTGTATGTGACGTATGGGGGAGAAGACCATCTCCACAAAATTTCTTGAGTTCCAGAATCCCTTCCTATCATTTTAACTATAAATAGTTGAAAAATGAGTAAAAGTTAATGATATATAAGTAAAAATAAAATTTAAAAAAGCGCGAGATCAGCAACATTTAAAAAACTAGACATTTTATTTCCGAAGTTTTAGAAAATTTATTTGCAACGGTAAACGAACTGCAGATTTCATTTTTTAGAATTGCTAACAAAATAGTAACTCGCTCTTACCTCTATTCCTACTACTTCAAGCAAAAGGACAGTTCAAAAATGGACAAAAATCTGATCGAGATGGGGGTCATTTACTCGATAGCTCAAGTTCATTATTTGTTACAAACATATTGTCTTTAAAAAATATATACAATACTAATGAAAACTAATTTATTAATAATACTGTTTTGTTAAAATAAACATTTTTGATAATCAGTTTAGTCTCTAATTGTATAGAAACAATTATGCAGCAGAAAAAATTTTACTTTTAACTTAAATTTGTGAACCGACTTCAGTTGTTTAATGTCATCTGGCAGAGCGTTTTAAATAACGTACATGCATTGTATGTGGGTTTCTGATAGTGAGCTGTTAATATTGACCGTTGATGAACATGATTTTTACGACGTGTTTTGTAATTATAAATATCAGTATTGCATGAAAATATGTTCCCACCCTTAAGTAAGTCAGTTTTGTGAAATGCTACAGATTCGTAAATAAATAGGCAAGATAATGGTAAGATTCCAAGGTCAATAACGAGAGGTTTCCAGGGATGACGTGGATGGCATTTTTTCATTGGAAAAATTTTGTTGTGCAATCTAAAGGTCTGTGTACTATATGATAAGCTTCCCCGGAATATTATACAATAACACAGGCGGAAATGCACATTTGCAAAATACACGCAAACGAGCTGCATGAGAGAATTTGATAGAATTCTGAATGCGTACCAAAACTTAATTTACTGTTTAATTCTGTTATATGTACATTCCGTTTGAGGTTTGACTGAATGGAGAGACCTAGAAATTTTCTTACTTTAACATCAGCTAACTGCACGTTGTTCATTTACAATGGTGCATACAATTGCTGATTTGAAATGCAAAAATGCATTGAAACTGTTTTTCCTTCAATAACTATTAATTTGTTATTACAAAGCCAATTTCAAACTTCTGAAATCGTACTATTAATTGTTTCTTTTTTGGAAAGAACATTCGTGTGATCGGCAAATAGAACAGAACATATACAAAGAGGTTAGGACTTGAGATCGAACCTTGCGAGACCACATATTTGGTAAAGAATTAGAAAGATAAGTAAATAATGTTCTTTCGTGCCAGTACGATATTTCCACTCGTTGAGAGCGATGTTTAATGTACGAGGTTATCCAATCTCGGGCGATACCATGAAATACATAAGGTAATTTTGATAGCAATGTCAATAACGTCAGAAGCTTTCGAAAGATCTAAAAATATTCCAATGGGTGCTTCATTTTGTCCAATTGATGAAGCAACATCTTTAAAAAACAAAAAATGGCAGTTTCTGTAGATTTTAATTTTCAAAACAGTTTTGTGAGCCTGTAAACACTTCGTTTTTCCTGAGAAAAGTTCCCATTCTCGTATAGAAAAGCCTCTCTAATATTTTTGAGAAATCTGATCAAAAAATTGGCCGGTAATTTTGGATTTCATTTTTGTTCCTTTTTTAAAAAAGTGTCTTAATTTTTGATGTTTTGAAAATATCTGGAAATATTCCTGTGCATAATGCAGCACTGAAAATTTGAGTTAACCAGTGTATAAAGGTAAGTACACAAGTTTCCACTAAACCATCCGGAAATTCATCTAAACCAGATGAATATTTATTTTTTAGTTTACTGACTATTCTCTGAATTTCGTTAGAAGTTTCAGGAATAAACATCGTCTCGAAATTTTTGGGGGAAGGGAATGATTTTGAATTTTGTGTTTTTAGTCCCTTTGTGAGTTCAGCCGCAATTGTAGAAAAGTGTTGATTGAAGAGATTTGCCACTTTTCGTAAATACATAAACCTCCGTAAGCAGAGCCCTTATTTGATTCCTTCGCTCTACAATAAGATTCTGCAAGGCAAAAACTAGGGATTAAAGCTCTAGAGTGTGTTTAGATCATTTTTTTTGAGACAACCAATGTTCTGTAAAGCACAATATATATTTGACCTAGATCACACTGTAATTCTGCATGGATAAATTTAATTTTATTTGAAAGAGATTGCTCATTATGATGCATTATTTGAATTTTTGCATGTACCTATACGGATGTTTCTCTGCTGCATTTAACTGTAGTTGCTATTTATTTATCTCATTTTTACCTCGAGTGCGTGGTGGAAGAAAGTATCGTGCCCCGGTGGTGACAGGAAGTGAGGAAGCAGGGGCGACAAATGTAGAGGAATGAATAATGAAGAGGATTTGGATCAGGGGATAAGGTAATTGGGATCCAAGATGCCCCAGAGGATGGAAGAGAAAGAGGAGATGTATGTGATGATGGGTCTTGGGCAGGACACTGCCGAGGTTGTCAAAGGATGTGTTTTACAACCTCGTTACTGAGTGCATGTTTTCCGAAGGTTCAAGTGAAGACCATGTCGGGTGAAGTGTTAGCTTCCTATAGAATTTAAACCAATTAATTACCTTGCAATTTTGGTATAGATTTATCTTTTATAAATTGAATATAAATGGAAATATTCTTATTTGTTGCAGATTGCCTGCCTGATCTTCATTCTCTATTCAAGTTTTTAGATATCGAAAAATACTATAGGATTTTTAATCATCGCAATATTGGCATTAAACAATTTTTAATGCTAACAGAAAACGATTTGAGAGTTTTGGGAGTAAAGTGAGTATTGTGCAAGTGGCGATTAAGCGTATTGATTATAGAATGTTCCGATGAAATAATAGACATCGGAAATTTCTGTCGATCATGTTAAAGTCAATAGTTTCATCCAAGCTAGTACGCGCAGTGTGAAATCTTAACGTCGTTGAAAAGGGTAGAGCCGAATAAGGGGGTGAAAAGCGCCCGCAAATCTAAGTAGATAATCGCGTAACTCATATGAAACAAAATAAAAAGAACGTAGATTCCAAAAAATTCAGCTTCCCCGGGATAGTCTGTTACAGTTATACAATGAGAATCGTATTTTTCATCTTTAAATTTTTTCTCAGAAAGGTAGTTGAATTTGAAGGTATTTGTGTCAACCAATTGTGATGCCAAACTCGAATAGAAAAATAAATATATAAATGTTTGAAATTTATTGTCGACGTGATAACGTTGGAGTTGTCTCTGTTTTTTTACTAGAACATATCTAATAACATTCCTTTTTTCAGATTATTGTTCACAACGTGGGCGATAATAAGAAAAATTAAAACCAATATTATCAGTTCAAAAATAACAAATCCGTACCAAATTGTGATCAAACAATTTATATTTATTATTGAAAAGTCTTATTTACCAGCATGATATACAACTTTTTGCTGAGATGTTTGTTTTTTATGTGGAAAGTATTTATGATATCGAAATAAAATCAACAAACCCCGTTTGTTTTTAGATTTTTGTATTATTTCTAATATAAACCAAATTACTCTGTTTTAGGGATATTAATATTTAATGTTAATAATATAAATCAATTTACTCAGATATAGATCATTGACAATTAATTATTGTCACCGACTTCAATATCTGGAATCACGCGTTCGTTTATAAACAGTCTACTCAAAATTTCACACGGGTCAACAATTTTCGACAAGTAACGGGCGTGTGCCATCGCAGCTATGTGGAAGCAGCATCCCGACTTAGAAGGCTTCGCCATACGTCACATACAGTTTTTTACCGTTCTTTGACAAAATAAACATAAGCAAATCAAACTTAAGTTTCTTCTAAATGCTTCAACAATCGTGTAACAATTTATGGAAACAAACATTGTTAATTGATTGAAGCGCAATTATCATTAATGTGACTCCTTCATGGGCGACTCGTGAACAAACGTTTAGGGTATGCAAAACAGGTTACTGAACAGCGGCGGTTCCCGGAAAGGGGGCATGGCGCCATGCCCCACCTCAATCCAATTTTTTGTAATTTTATTCAATTCATTTAAAACAGTTGCATCACTGATATCATTACATTGAAAGCATTATTTCCGTGAAGCACGCACAGACGTGATGTCAAGATATTCAGATAGTCGACAAATGCATTAGTTTACTTAAATCTGTTCATGCAGATGCACAGAAACGCAACAATTGATTTGACGTGACATACGTTTCACAAAGCGCAAAAGAAAGTTGAAACTAGTAGTGCAATTGAATGTCACAGACGTTCTCGTATTAGTTTAGTATTTTCTTTGGTCTGACTTGCCCCATCCTCTTGTCGGCTGCCATCTATCGCTACCAAAAGTAAATTTGATTAATTTTCTCAATTTTTGGGATTCCTAATAGTAGAATCCAGATATATGTTTAAGAATATTAAAGAAGAGTAAAACTTCATCCTAAATATCAATTTTTATTGAAAAATTTGGAGTTGTTTGTAAGAAAATTGTGTTTAAGCTAAGCGTTACTGTGAATGCGAAAATTGAGTCTCTTTATACAGAAAACTATTGATTTTTAGATAAACTTCATTTGAAGTCATTTAAAGTCAGTCACAACTTCCAGTCACAAATGCTAAAGTGCTTACAAATCGCTGGAAATGCACATATTCAAGTGGTGAGAAATATTTCAAAAAATTACACAAAAGTATTTTTTGAAAAAAGAACAAAAGGATGCAGCAAAATAAACATAGTCATATTAAAGAGTGCAATTAGCACTATCCATTGGAAAATTGTAAAGAAAAAATTTAGAGACACTTTGAGAAAATAGCATTTGAGAATTTCTGAAATTGCGAAATTTTGTGTTCAATGTTGAGTTTTCGAGTATCTTCATCCTGCATTATTTAAAGCAAAAGTAGTCATCAATACATTAAAGTGAACAAATTTTCGCGATTGTAAATACTGACGACGTGAGAGACAAGAAAATTACATTTTTGTAATTTTTGAATAAACAAAAGAATATATCACAATGGCGTTAGTTATTGTATAGAGTACATTTAAAACTGTCCCTACCAAAAGTTTAAAGAAAAAATTTGGAACGGTTTTTGACAAAACCAAGTATTTGTATTTTTTAAATTTCAAAAATTGCACGCAATATTGCGCGAACAACGCTAAAAGTTTTTTTTTTAAATGTGCATGATCTAAATAAAAGATATAATTGTGGACATCGCATTACATTTGAAGGGAAAATGTCTATCTTCAATTTTGTAATTATTAGAAGCAGCCGAAAAAATGTCATACTTTTGAAATTTTCGAAAATTTAAAGTTATCATGCAAATCAAATCTATGCTACCTTTCTAAGTATATTTTACTCTCTTCTTACAAGAAATTTAAAGAAAAAATTTGAAGTAGTTTTGAGAAAATTTTGAAAACGTCCGTGGGGCGTTATGTAAATCACACCCACATTTTAAAGAAAGGTTTTCAAAATCTCAAAGCTTCGACTCGATCCAGATAGACAAGGGTTTCTTCAATTTGGAAAAAATCCAATGAATCGTTTAGGAGCTAATGGTGGACGGACGGACGGACGTTTTGAAAAAAACAACTTTGTCGCATTCTGAGGACGCCAAAACGTGTATTTCCGATAAAATTACGAAATCGATTTTCCGCAGCATGACATATTACATAACTTTCTCTATACTACGTGTAATCACTCCGTTACGTATGAATACCAGAAAGTAAACTAGTAGTGCTACAGTATGGTACTAGTTTCCCTTATTGCTTTTCTATTTCCTTTGGTCTGGCTTGCTCCATCATCTTCCCAGCGACAATCTATCGCCGCCTCAAGTACATTTTTTTGAAATTTTCTTAATTTTTTGGTTTCCTAATAGTATAACGGAGATATTATTTTGTGAATATTAGGAACAGTAATGCCTCGTTCTAAATGTCAATTTTCTTTGAAAACCTTTGAGTCGTTTTTAAAAAACTGGTGTTGTAGATTTGAAATTTGAAGCTCCTTTTCACAGAAAATATTTGCATTTTTGAAAATCTTCATTTCAAGTAATTTGAAGCACATTAACTTAAAGATTACGATAACGTTTACAAATTGCTGGAAATGAGCATAATAACGTAATGAGATCTTTCAAAGAAATTATATTTGTGTAACTTTTGAAAGAAAGAATCCCGAAATGAATTTTATATCATATTGAAGAGTGCAATTAGCACTAAGCGTTCGAAAACGTTGATGAAAAAATTTGGAAATGTTTATGAGAAAATTTCTCTGCGTTTGAGCATTTTCAAAAATGCGAAATTTTGAGTTAGTTTTCACAGAAAACTGTTGAGTTTTCAAAAAACTTTTACATTATTTAGAGTACATGTACTAATAAATACAATAATGGGAACAAATTGCCACTAATATATATTAATGACGTGAGAGATACGTCAACACAAATTTGTAACTTGAGAAAAAACAAAAAATAGTGCAATATGTCATCATTGAATACATTTACCACTATCCCAACTAAAATTTTAAAGAAAAAACTTTGAGGTTTTTTGAGGAAATAGTGTTTTTGTATTTTTTTAAATTGCATATATTGCTCGCAATATTGGGCAAAACTAGTAAAATTTTCAAAAAATGTATATTTTGTGTAAAAGTTTATAAAAGTGTATTTTATTCCGCTTTTACAAGAATTTTAAAGAAAAAATTTGGAGTCGTTTTTGAAAAAAACTGAATGTCCGTGTTGCGTAATGTATAGAACTCCCAAATTTTAAAGATTTTTTTTTCAAAATCTTAATGATTCGACTCGAGCGAGATAGACATGAGTTACATGAATTTGGAAAAAAATCCTATGTATCATTTAGTCGCTAGTAGGGATCACGGACGGACGGACGGACGGACGGACGGACGTTTTGAAAAAAACTTCATTTTCGGTATCAGGGTATTTCCGTTGAAATGTCAAAATCGATTTTTCGCAGCATTACATACTTTTCGTATACGTATGTATAATACTCCGTATTCGGTACGTATATGGGAAAGTAAACATGTTTAAAAGTTACAAAAGCATGTACAACTGCAACTACCGATTTATTTATATATGAATTGCATGCATGTGTGAGTGGTAATTTGTTTTCTACAACAACGCATTCATCAAATTATAATCCCCGTGTGGGACACGAACCGGCGACCTCTTGGTCTCGGGAGATAAAGCCCAACACTCCATTAAACACCCTCGGCCATCCAGGAGGACAAAAATCTTTATTCTTTCATACTACTCAAGAAGTAATTGTTTCGGTTCTAGCATTAGGAAGCAGAAAAATCGAGAAAATGCGAAAAACACATCCTTTGGGAAACCAAAGAAGGTATCTGGGGAGAGAATCAGGCACAATCTAAAACTTAGTTCAGACTAGAGAAATTAGAAAACTAGAGCGAGAAACTCTGTGCTATTGTATTGCACAAGTATTTATTTATTTGTTTTCTTGTTTATTTATTTATCAAACGCTATTACATACGAGGAGGAAACAAACAAATTTAGCAGGAAATTAAAAAGTATATAAAAATATGCAAAAAATTCTGCAACTCACTTATTCCATAACTGATACTCGCATACATATTCCATAGTATATCACGCAAAACCGCGTGAATCCGTAATTAATTTTTACGAAAGTGTAAAGCAGAATACTTATGTTTAATTGCACTGAGAATTGTTACCGAGAATTGTTACCGAGAATTGTTACCGAGAATTGTTACCGAGAATTGTTACCGAG